TTAGCAGCTGAGCACCTTAACCCAGGGACTCCATCCACAGCTAAGAATTCATATTTAAAACAACTGTCTGTTGACTGGAGCCCTGGTGGCACAGTGGCTAAAGAAACTGACTGCTAACCAAAACGGCTGGTGGTTCAAAACCACCAGTGGCTCCATGGGAGAAAGAGGTGGCAGTCTGCTTCCACAGAGATTTACAGCCTTGGAAACCCTATGGGGTGGCTATGAGTTGGAATCAACTAGATGGCAGTGGGTTTGGTTGGGTGGGGGCTCTGTTGACTGTAAGGGTTTTTTATTTTATTTTCACATAAACACATTCTCTGTATATAGACACGTATCTTCAGAGCACTTATTACCACCTGACATTGTTATTATTCGTTTGACTTGCCAAAGAATGTACGCTCCGTAAGGGCAGGGACTCTATTTTGTACATGGCTTCATCTCCAGACACAAGAGAAAGATGTGGCAGTCTGCTTCCGTAAAGATTACAGCACTGGAAACCCTATGGGGCAATTCTACCCTGTCCTATAGGATCGCTATGAGTCAGACTCAAGCCTACGGCAAAGGGTTTTTGGTTTTATTTCCAAAACCTAGGTCAGAGTTTAGCACATAATGGTATTCAAATACCTAACTGATACATGAATATACACTTTGACAATCACATATGTGCATACAAACCTATAATGGAAATTGGGAAAGTTTTTGCACTTCTAAACCACGAAAATGTACCATATGGCTTACCGCTTAAAATAAATAACTGAATTTGAAAATGGTGACAGTAAAATAATAAAACTTTAGGAACCATAAAATTCTGAAGGTAAAGTTAGATTATATGAAACTGAAAGCACTAAATCTACACACAGATCTTATACTTGAAGTTTACGAATCGTATTTGTTTCCAGAGGCCTTATTTTTCCATTCTACATCTCAGTGATTTTCAGCTATGAAAGAGAAACTAGAGTACAAACACCGAGATGCAGTATTTTACCCATCTGCCCGGACTGAGAAACAAAGATGGTTCATAATAAAGTCGCTAAAATAGTTATGACAATGGAAAGGACCATTTTTTCTTCCCCAAAGCAAAAAAGGCCACAGGAGGATACAAAACAGTAAACAAAGCTAGCCAAGGGCTCCGGGGAGTAGGCCCCAGACAATAGAAGCAACGCTAGAGGCAGGTCTGGGGTTGGGTCAACAGGGGGTGGAGTTTTCAGAAAGCACGCCAGTAGTCGGTCAGACTTAGGGCCGAAGGGAGGATTGGCGGGACTCGGCTCCGGGGGGTCCCCAGGGTGTGTGTAGAAGAGTGATAAGAGAAATAGAGCGCAAAAAACTTCAAATTTCTTCTCTCTCTCTCTTTTTTTTTAAAGCTCCGGCAACCCTGGCCACTTAAAAAACCCTAAGCACTGACTGCGAGGTGGGGGGAATCCCCGCGCTTGGCGCGGGCCAAGATTCCCTGGGGACCGATGACGCGGCCGCGGGAGGAGATCCCAGGGCTGGGCCCCGGTGATGACTTACTTTGAGAAAGCAGCTGTTGAGAGGGGCGGGCACCGAGGTGCGGTGGATGACCAGGTCCTGGCCCGGATTGTGCACGTCGCAGATGAGCTCCAGCACAGCGATGCTGCGGGCCGTGGACACCGACACGCGGTGGTCCTCGGACCAGGATAGCGGCTCCAGGCCGCTCACCGCGTACTGGAGCTTCACGGCCGGCTCCCGCCGAGTCACCATGAGGCGGAAAGCGGCACTGGGCCCGGGAGCCGCGTCCGCTGCTGGCTCCTTCGAGCCCACCTCGCCGCCCCCCTCGCCCTCCTCCTCCCCGGGTGGCGCAGGCCCGTCGGTCTCGGGCACCACCCGGGCCTTGATAGCCGTGGACATCTTCCCTCAGATCCAGAAGACAACCCTTGGGCGCTCAAACTCCACGTCGCGGCCCCCTTGCTGCCTCCCCAAAAGTCGCTGCCACCCCCCCTCCGCGGCAGTTTTCTCCCCTCAGGGCCCGAGCGCCGCTGAGCTAGGAAGGACCCCGCGGTTGCCAGGCGACCCAGCCCTACCAGGTGACCAAGGAGTTGCCTGTCTAAAAAACGCGCCTGGTCTGCGGGCCGAATCCAAGCGGCCAGGCCTGGCTACGCTTCGACTGCGAGCGGGTAAAAGGAACCTCGAGGAGGAAACATGGCCCTAAATTCACCGCCTGCATGGCAGGCAAAGGGCCCCTTCTGGTGACCGAGCCCCAAGTCCCTTTAGGAGCCTCTCAGGGCAACGAGTTAGCAAAGAAACAGTAACCAGGCGGTAAATGAAAATGTTAATTTGATGGTGCACAGCCTTTTTGTTTCTTAGAGGAATTCAAAGAGCTTCACAAGCATTAACCCCCGATTAAGCGTAATTTTGCATTTCTGCAACAAATCAAGCCATGAGGGACGAAGGTGTCACCTCACATTAGTCGGTGTCCCTCGCCCTCAGGGTGTTCGCTTTCGCACCTCCCGGTCCGTGCGCCACAGCAAGCGCCCTTCCGCCCCGGTACCGCTGCTATAAACTTATTCTATGTTTGTTGCTAAGTCTTTCTCAGCCTCGGAAGGGGAGGCGACGACAGGACTCGACAGGACAGCTACGTGGGGTCCTCGCGCGCGTCCCACGTGGGCTCTAGTCGGAATTGGAGCCGCAGTCCCAAATCGTGAGTGGTGCGGATAATCGCGTCTAGCCGACGTCTCCCGCGTCTCGCGGGTGCCTTCTGCCTCCCGGTAGCCATGGCAGCCGCTGAGGATTTGCTCCTCAACGTTTTCGAAGCCCAGGCCGCCGCCCGCAAGACGTTCTTCAGATCCTTCCGAGCCCAGACAAAGCGGGTGAGTTCTGACCTGGCTTCAGCTCAGTCTCCTCCGGGAGCCGGGCTCGTGGCGTACCGCAGGCTGCCGCCTTGCTTCTGAGACCAGTTTTGATATTTTTTTTAACAGAGTAAAAGGGAGAAAACCCAGCTATCAGGCAGCTTCTGGAGGAGTTGCTCAGAAACACGTGTATAAAACCGGAAGACCACCCTGAAGGGATGTTTTTGGAGGGAGTGGAGCGAATGAAGAGGGCGGGGAGCTGGCCCATGCTACTAGTTTGAATACTGTGAAGGTGGTGTGAGGGATTGGTGACTGTTTACTTTGAAGTTGGGAACTAACGCTCCGTCTTGAGTCCTAGCCCTGTCACTTATCAGCCAACTCTCCTAACTTCTGTAAGTCACGTTTCCTCGATTCTAAGGCGCCCTGGTGGCGCATCTTTGGAAACCCTATGGGGCAGTTCTACTCTGTCCTATAGGTCGCTATGAATCGGAATCGACTTGACGGCAACGAGTTTTTTTTTTTTTTTTTTTTTTATATTTTAAGGGTAGTTTGTCTCATAAATGAGGGTTGGAGACTAGGAATTTCTTTGAATAGCTTTCAAAAATTGGATAGATTTCCATCCACGTGGAATGGAAGGGAAAAAGAGAATACAATTCATCAATATAACTCCCTCACTGTAAAGGGGAAAGATGCTCTGAAATTAACCCAAGCAAGAGCAGAAAACTGGTTCCTGGGATCCTAACTCTCAGATTGAAAGAGAAGGACTGCAAAGCAGAAAAGCTTCCGTAAAGTCATAAATTAACACAAAGACCAGGAAGGATACAATTTAGTGCCAAGGTTTGTTCCTTCTCCCCTGCCCCCTGAAAAAGCAACACATAGTGCCCTTGAAAAATCAATTGCCAAAGTCACTTCAGGGCAGCTAATGTGTAGAAGCTTGAATTCCTTGAGTTTATATTAGCTAACACTAGCTAACGTGTATTATCTGGTTTCTCTTCGGTGGTTCTTAATAATAATCAAACTTTAGGGTTTAGGAGTTTGGGAATGAGTAGTCTTCAGCTGGCCAATGGTGTAGCCACATCTAAAGGGGAGAGAGGTATAAAGGAGCTGTTGGGAGCATCAGATTTAGAGTAGGATAGACCTGGAATTAGATGCCAGCCTTGCAACTCATAGCTCTATGACACTGGGGAAGTTACTTAACCTTTTTTTATCCTTGATTTTTCTGCCCATAAAATGGGAACAGTTTATATGAGGATTTAATAAGGTAATGCACATAAAGACCCTGTACATTGTTTGGCCTATATAAAATTTAAAAAAAAACAAAACAAACCTATTGTCATCGAGTCAATTCCAACTCATAACAACCTTATAGGACAAAGTAGAAGTGCCCCATTGAGCTTCCAAGGCTATAATCTTTACGGAAGCAGATTGCCACATAGTTCTCCCGCAGAGCAGCTGATGAATTCGAACCCCATACCTTTCAGTTACCAGCGAGTGCTTAACCCACTGCTCCACGAGGGCCCGTAGAAACATTTAATAAATCCAGTAATAAAAAAAATAGTATGGCCCCATTTTTGGTAATAGAATTGCTATATCGTTAGATCATTGGGGTGCTTGTGCCATGTACAAAGCTTAGTAACTAACACATGGGAAGCACTTACTAAAACTTCGTTGAGTAGTTGAATTAATAAATGTGGGGCATCTGGTTTTATGATTCCTTGAACCACTGTTTCAAAAGGGTATTAGTGAGGTGATGACAGATGTCTGCAGTGGCCTGTTAATGTCCTGAATGAAAATTATGGCTATGCTGATTGAATTTACCAATAGCCTGAACTTGGGATAAGTAGTTAATATATATACTGGATTTGAGAAGACTTTGACAGTTTAAATTATGCTATATATCTAACACTATGCATGATTTTTTCTTTCTAAAAATATTTTTTGATTACTAAGTTAATACAAATTTATTGTAGAAAATTTGGAAAGAAGATTTTAAAACACACACACACACCCGTAATTGCCATACTCGGGTAACTCTCGTTAACATTTTGGTATATATCCTTCTAGAAAGCAAAATGTCAAAATAGGGATCAAACTACACATGATGTTTTCTAACCAAACAGAATACAATTAATAAATGATATTACAGGAACTTGGGCTGTTGAATCATAATGCCTGGGCAAAGCCTGGGTCCCCCAGTGACCCTTGCACACAGTACGCCGCATCTCTGCCTCTGTGTTCGCATTTAAAAATGGGATGATACCAGGATCTGTATTGGTTAAATAATTCATATAAGTACTTAGTATACTGCCTGGTGTATAGTAAGTACTCGATTAAGTTTGTTAATATCAAAGATATGGCATCTTAGACTCATAGGGCGAGGACAGGCCCTAGAAATCATCTGCTGTAGTCCTTGCATTTTACAAGTACAGGAACAGAGACTCAGAGGGCAGTGATTTGCTGAGTGTTGTGCAGCTAATTTTCAGTAGATCCAGCTATGTCCTTGCTCACTTTCTGCTCAGACGCTAACTTAGGAAGCGTTACTTGACTCCTTGCCCTCTCTTTCCCCTACTGTAGGCCATGTTAGTCTTTCTTTTTCTGTGTTCCCATAATCCTTTGTACATACCTTCTCTATAGTACAAATATAGGCTTGGATTTATGTTTTTACACCTTTGTCTTTTTCACTAGCCTGTGATTTCCTCAAGGGCTTGGCTGATCTTTCAGCTTTGTATCTGCGAAACCAAGCTACTTGACAACTGCAGAGTGGTCAGTTTTTTAAATGAATGTGTTGTGGATCTTGGGGGGGTCAGAGGGGGGAGATAAGGGCAGGGGTAGCTAACATGTAGTAGAATAGTGTCCAGATCGATAATTGCACTGTGTCATTCATTCATCTTACAAGTATTTGTTGAGTGTTTACTTTGTGCCAGATGCAGATCAGTGCAGGGGCTTCAGGTGGTGTTCAGAACTTGTCCATTTCTTTATGGAGCTTACAATCTAATTGGAAAGACAGACACCAAACAATGAATTACATGCTACTTTTATTATCGTGCTGAGTGCTGCAAAGGACAATAAGGTGCCAGGAGAGCCAAGAACAGGGAACCTTGGCTTGACTGAGTGGAAAAGAGAGGATCAGGAAAGACTGTTCTGAGGAAACGCCAGGGAAGCCTAGTCTGAAGAATGAGTATGAGTTTGCCAGCCACAGGGAGGGTTGGGGATGTAGGTGTGGGAGTAGTGGGTGTAAAGGTCCTGAGGAGGGAAGGAGCATGGTACATTCTAGGAATTTAAGAAAGATCAGATTGGCATAAGGTAAAGCTGAGATTGGTAAATTGTGCAGAGGCCAGATTCTGGAGGGCTTCATAGATCATATTACTGATTTTGGATTTTAATCTAAGAACAATGGAAAGTCTCTCTAATATAGTGCTTAACTCTGATTACTTGCTTTTAGAGAGACATTGACATAGTAATAAAGAGTGACCAGGATGTTAAGAGATCTAAAGTTTGTATCATATTTGGACTGTGTAGTCCCAAGATGAAAAAAAACGAATCATGTAGTGTGTGAAGGAATGTTATGTACAAGAGGAAGCAAACCTTAGACTAGTAGAAGATGTTCAAGGAGGCAGATCTTGTCTGAATGTCAGAAACAGCTTCCTAACCCTTAAAATTGGTTAGGAGCAGAGTTGGCTGCCTCGTGACATGGTGACCAGGAGGAGGTGTGTAGGCAGAGGCCGCAAGGCCCCACCTGGCAGGTAACCTGCAGCCAGAATTCCTGCATGTGGTGGGAATGGACTTGTTGGGCTCATTGTGCTCCAAGATGCTGTGGTTCTTTTTCCCCAGTGCTGTGAATCAGGTGAAATCTGCCCCTTCCGTACGGAAGTACTGTCTTGTAAATAATTCAGCAGACCTGAAACTTGACTTAATCTTTTTCTGTAATCTTAAGATTCCCTAACCTTGGGATTTGTAAAAAATACACTTGTAAAATGAAGTAGGTTAGTACTTTATTAATATTAAATATTTGAAGTTGTATTTATTGAATTACTTAGATAAAGGAATCCTTGTGGTTGCCAGAAGCAAAGAACTCTTGTTACTCGTAGATTAGTCTGAAGCTGACAGTCATGGCTAAAGCAAGCTGGTGTGTAAGCAGAAGTCATCATTTCAAGCAAAGAGGAAAATAACATATTCCAGGAAAAACCAAAACTCTAGAATAACAAGCACTAACTCAAGGGATATTTTTATATTTATATGTAATCAGGAAGAGAAGGTAAAAGAAAATAGAGGAATTGGATGGTTCTGCGGGGAGTTTAGACATCATGCATTTAACCATATTCACGTTAATAGAAATAAGCAACAGGCAAGAAAATAGTATTGTAGCCTATAGTCAACAATCAGGTGGGGAATTGAAAGGCAAGGAGAGTTGGAAATAATTGTGATAGAAGTGATGGATGGAGGAGAATTCTCATCTGGAATTGGAACTGTGAGTAGGAATTATCTCTAAACCATCTGAGTCTGGAGGAGCAGCTTGAATGTAGAGAATGACAGCGATCCAAGCACTCTAGGATAGAGCAGTAACAAAGGTTTCTGCTTCCTGAGCATAAAATAGGACACGAGCATCCCAGTTTTCTTTCTCCCATGTGTAATCACTACTTGCTTTGTTGGTAGAGAGATTTTCTCCCCTCCATTCTTGTGTAAATGGATTCCTAGGGATATGGATTGACTTAGCGTGCATACTTCCAAAGGTGTGTTCATTCTTTCCCTTAAAACAGATTTGTTAACATTCAGCCCAAGATATGCTTCTCCCTTCTTGGTCCTTACCCTCATCCTGGTTACTTTAACATTTAAGATGGTTGATAAAGTCTAGTGAGATGAATGAGCTGAAATTTTTTTGGGAAAGAAAAATGCTGAGTCAGAAAATCTGACTGCAAACCCTAAACTGTTGCTTGACATATGGGGCATAATGATCCCTGCAGGAAGAGATGCAACTCTGTGGGCAGTCAGGCTTCACTCTGAGGTCTGTCTTCATGGACTAATGCATCGCTTGTTGATCTTTCCTTTTGGGAACAATGCAGCAAGCAAAGGCTACCAAAAGAAAATACCACGCGCCCAGTGAGGCTCCCCCAGTGAAACGGAGGAGCAAAATACCATTTTTCCCAGCCAAGAAAACTGGTGTTACAGAAACTGAAAGGACTTTCAAGGGGAAGGCAAGAGAAACATTTTCTCCAAAGAAGTACTCGTCTGGTACCAGTAATGTAAACCAGGAGGAGAAACCGTGTATTAAGACTTCATCATTGTTTAAAAACAACCCTGAAATTCCAGAACTCCACAGGTATGTCCAGGTGTAGATGCACTTTAGGAATAAAAGGAATAAAGTGTATTCTGCTGTTTTGTTTGCATATCGGAACTGATTCCTCGGTTTTTATTCATCATTTGCAGAACTGCAGTAAAGCAGGTGCAAGAGAAAGTGTTTACTTCAGATGCTTTTCATGAACTGGACCTCCATCCACATCTAGTAAGTAGTCTCATGGTTTGATGTGTCTGTTTTTTTAAGTATCTTTATTCATTCCGAATGTCTGTGAAATGACAGTTCTAGGAAGAGAAATTGAAGAATGGTTATTTCTGCTTCAAGCCACCTGAATGAACTCAGATTGATATGATACTCTTCTAGGGCAATTTAATGTGTTTAGGTTATTGTGTACTGTCTCCTGACACTATTGTTTTTTTCTTAAGAACTTAAAGACTTTTCTTTATGACTGGGACTTCACATATTAGACTTAAACAACTTCCTAATTACTCGATAGATACAGCATTGTGACCATTCTGGTGGCAGATGTCACAGTGACCATAGGAGAGGGAACTGAACTGGCATCTTGCTGTTAAGAGAAGAGACTATTTTAACATACTTTTTTTTACAAACAAATGTACACTTTGTTTTTGTTTTTGTTTTTGTTTTACTATGAATAAGTTTCCAGGCTTCTTACGAGTAAAGGGAGAAAAATACATTCACTTTTAGGTAGTCCTGATTTCCTTTGCTTATGCAGTCACAGCTTACCTACCCTTTCTTTTTTACATAGGTTTTTGTCTCACCTACAGGTTGGGTAACTCTTTGTTGTGGGAGCTGTCCTGTGGACTGTAGAATGTTTAGCAATATCCTTGGCCTCTACCTACTAGATTTATGTTGCAACACCCCCCACCCCCTTATGACCACCAGAAATGTCTCCAGACATTGCCACATGTTCCTAGGAGCAGGGGGAAGGGGCAGTATCACCCCTGGTTGAGAACTGGAGATGATTTTGAACTTAATGTGATCATGGTAATCAGTTTCATCCCAATATTTTCTCCTTTTTTGTGTCTTTAATTCCAGTAAATATATTTTTACCAAAAACTGGTAATTAAATTTTTTTTTTCTCTTCTCTTTTAGATTTCCACAATAAATACAGTCTTAAAAATATCTAGTATGACCAGGTAAGAATTCCAGGCTAATCTTAATTTTCTCAGGGCTCAAGTGCATATAACCGGATGAAATTTGAATTGTCTGTGGAGAATAGAGCAAATGGATATCTTGGCATTAGAAAAGATTGCCTGCTATTGACCAACAAGGGCTCAACATATCACTCAGTTTGCTCGTTTCCCCTGTTAAATGGAGAGGCTGGATCTCCTTCCAGTGCTGCTCTCAGCTCTAAACTATAAGAGAGCTCTGGTCCAGAAGATGGTCTGCATAAGATAACAGTGTTGTCCAGGCTTTGTGGACAAAAGATAGGCTTTAGCATGTCATTTCTTGGTAATAAGAATTAGAGTCAACCAAAATGGCTATTTGGTTGGAAATAATGGGATACTAAAATTTTTTTAAAAATCTTTGTTAAGAGTGATGACTCCTGGAAATTAGAGTAGTAAAATTATGAACCTCTTCTTTTTGACTATGTACGTTTCTGTGCGTTTTAATAATAAGTACTTTCTACTTCCATAAGTAAAAAATTAATAAGAATATTGAAGAAGAAAATAAGGAGCCCCACCACCACTACCAATTTTTTTTTTTTTTTTATTTAGTAGAATGGCCAGTCTCAGGCTTGCCTCAGCATTTTCAGCTAAGTGCCAGAAATTTAATTGAGGTTTTATACTTCTAATCATCAAAAGTTTCTTAGCACCTTCACTTGAATGCTTATGTAACTTCTATGGTGGCAGTTGATAGACAAATCAGAGTGTGGCAGTTGCATTTTGTCTATCCTATGTCTCTTCTTCTAAACATAACTGAGTAACGTATTGTAGATAAATAAGTGTTCTTTCTTTTGGGTGCCCAAGTGTTCAGAAGCAAAGTATTCCTGCATTGCTGGAAGGCAGAGATGCTCTTGTGAGATCCCAGACGGGTTCAGGTCAGTCATCATTTAATTTTCTGCCTTCTCTTGGTATCCAGGCCCATGGTTATGGAGTAAAAGTGTCTGTTTCTGTGGTGGAGTTGCTTTGTTTTATTTGGGAGAGGGGAAGCTATGCTTGCTTTTGATTAAAGCACTGAATTTGTTCCAGTAATGAAAGGAAGGGGATGATTGATGGTGCCATGAGCAGGAAATTGTCACGTTCTGCTATCATTCCTAGGAGTCTATTTCAGGCCTTTGCCAGGTTCCATCATCTCTGGCCAGAGCTGCCCACCCTCACTGTAGTGAAGGATGAATATTTTCTCTGATATTAAAACGTAGAGCTCTGACATGAGTATACAGTATTGAACACCAGTCATTCTGCAGAAAACTGCTTTTACTGTGTTCCAGACCAGTCTGGACTTGCCCTTCTGACCCTCTTGTGCCTTTAAGGACAAATCCTACTTGCTTGACCACCAGTCAGGTGGTGGAAACCCAGAATTTTGGCCATCTTTGGTTTTTCCTTGGTCTTTAGAAGCTAGCTGTAGAGTTCAAACTGGCTGCTAATCCCAACAGCCCCTGCAGAGAACTTTTAATTGACCACTGAAGCTCATCTGAGAGATTAAGGTGGGCTTCAGAAATAGAGTCCTGTAACTTCTGTAGGCAACTATCAAGTTGAGCTTTGTGTAATTTGGGAAATGTGTCATTGTTTCCCTTGTTAGATGGGTAAAGGAGCTGAAGCTTCAGGTTTTTTAGCAGTACTGAATTTCCAAAGCAAAATTAGGGGTTGTGGAAGACAGGTGAACTTCCTTTTCACCTCTCTTGGCTGTATGATGGCATTCTTTTCTTTCCCCAGAATCTGGTACGACCCAAAGATAACAGAGCCTGTCTCCATTATGGCCTTTGTTTTTCTTACGTCTGTAGGGTCTGTAATTTTAATTGCTTTTACACTTTTTTTTTAAAAGGTAAAACTCTTGCCTACTGTATCCCTGTGGTCCAGTCCCTTCAAGCAATGAAATCAAAAATAAAGGTGAGTATAAAATGCATTTTTCTGTTACTGTTCATAGTACACAAGCAACCATCAAACTGAACCATAGCAATAATATTGGGACTGAAAGACTGTATTTTCACTTAGTTGGTGTTCTTACCTCATTTTAATTCATTTATTATATGAATATGTTATCTTTAAAGATTATGCCTAGAGTATAATAGAACAAACATTATTTCATATTTATCATAATGGATATAATAGGGAGCATTTGTAAAATGTTCCCCATGTGTCAGGTTCTATGCCAAATGCTTTGTATGTATTATTTTCCTAAATCTTTAAACACCACCACCCCCACCCACCCCCAAATTGTCTGTATCCCAGTTTTACAAAGAGAAAAATTGGGAAGTTGAATAACTTGCTAAGGTCATGCATTGAGCAGTAGTGGAAATGGCTTTCCACTTCAGTTCTGTTTGGTTCAGAAGCCAGATTCCTTACTCCATGCTGTGATTTTATGCCAGGGTTAATTATGGGCACCTGTGCTGTATACGGACCGTGTCTGTATGTTTTCCACAGTACCCCGCATGGGACCTGCTACAAAATGATTGCTCAATAAATGTCTCAAAATGATTTGATTTGCAGCTGTCCATTTATGCTCTGATCTTGGGTCTGTGTTGTAACTTATGCGAAGGATTAAATTCCACCCTGCTATCCTGATTTCCAGTATGCTGTTTGCTTCCGACCAGAAAGGCCGGACATCATATTTAAAACAGTGATTTATCCTGATAGGAGATATGAAGACAAGTGCCTCATTAGTGAGTTTGACGATTGGGCTGTCTTGTATTTAACATTATCTAGAATTTATCTTTAGTTGTCAAATAGATTTGGTTAGTGCATGGACCGAAGGGGCCAAAATTGGGTTTTTTTAATTCCCTAGGAGGCCTAGGGTTCATCTCAAACCCCAGCCTACACCCCCACAAACATAACCTTGGTTATCTTCATTTAAGAGGAAACGGTGAAACCAGAAATAGTGAGGTAGGTGCACAAACCAGATGAGAAGAGCTAATTGATTACTTTTTGCTTACTTTGGACATGCAGAACTGGAGATGTATGAAGCCTGCCTGATAACTTGTGTGACAAAAAAAGTAACAATAAAACCAAAGAACCAAACCAGTTGTTGCCAAGTCGATTCCGACTCATGGTGTCCCATGTGTTCAGAGTAGAACTGAGCTACTTAGGGTTTTCAATGGCTGTGATCTTTTGGAAGTAGTTCACCAGGGCTTTCTTCCAAGGTGCTTCTGGGTGGATTCAAACTGCCAGCCTTTTGGTTAGTAGCCAAGCGCCTAAATATTTGTGCCACCCATGTATGGATTATAACGCATAGAATAAAACAAATATCCACAAGTTCACACTGATATAAATAAATAATTGAATAAATAAGTAAATCAGGGAAGAGGGAAAACCTTTCCTTACAGTAGAATCCCAAGCCAAACCCACTGCTGTTGAGTCAGTTCATAGCGATCCCATAGCATTTCCAAGGCTGTAAGTTTCTGTGGAAGCAGACTGCCAGATCTTTTCTCCCATGAAGCCACTGGTGGTTTAAAACCGCTGACCCTTTGGTTAGCAGTCCAATGCTTTAACAATTGCACCACCAGGGCTCCTTATGGTAGAATACCAATGAATAAACGCAGAAGGAGTGATGGAAATAGAAACTCACCATTTGGCAGATGCCGTAGTAATGTTGTTTCAGGCAAGAATCATGGATGCTAAAATTACTGGCTAAAAGTATGATGAAAAACAGGATATTATAGTCCCAGAGTATCTCCCCACAACCTTTAGTTACAAAGGGGAAAGACAGTAATTTTACCATGGGGAATCCTGACTATCACTACCTTAACCAAGTGATCCAAGTTGGCATCACCATTATTGAGATATGTCAGCATCTTGTGCCTCCTGATATGATGTAATGAGAAGGGCACAGCATCACTTACATGGTATTCTTACCAAAAATGCATAATGTGAACTTAATGAGGAAATTCAAATCGAGGGACATTTTACAAAGTAATTGGCCAGTACTTTGTTGAAAACATCAAGTTAATGAAAGACAAAGAAAAACTTAGAACCTGTCCCAGATTAAAGGAAAATAAGGAAACATGACAACTAAATGCAATTTGTAGCCCTGGATTGGGTCCCAGTCCAGAAAAATGACATTAACAGGTCAGTTGATGAAATTTGTATAAGATCTGTAGATTAATTAATTTCATTGATCAGTGTTAATTTCCTTATTTTGAAAATCGTACTATAATTATAAAAATTGTTAACATATGGGAAAGGTGGGAAACAGGTACATGGGAATTTTTTGTACTATTTTTGCAAGTTTGAAATTATTTCAAAATGAATAAGTTTGTTTTAGATAATTGAGAAAGAAACCCTATATGATCATCCAAATGATGGAACTCTACAGCTATTAAAAGTAATATTTTTTCAATTTACTGTTCGTGAACTTCTGCAAATACTAAGTGAAAAAAGGCAGGTTACAAAACAATATGTCTTAGGCTGTGTTCTCTAGAAAAGTAAAACCTGTGAAGCGTATATATATAGAGAGAGGGAAAAAAAATTATTTAAAGGAAATAGATCATGCTGCTGTAGAGGCTAGCAAGTCCCAAGTCTGTGGATCAGGTGTCAGGTTGGAGGCTTCTCCTGGCTCGTGGGCTGAGGAGGCTGACAAATCCGAGATTGGTAGGTGAGATGGCAGTCTGCTGGCCCACAGGCTGAGGAGGCTACAAATCCCAAGATTGGGAGATAATACAACAGGGCACTGGCTCAAGTCCCAAGAATCAGAGGTCAGATGATGATGAGCCACATGCAGGATCCAGAGCAAACAAGTGAGCTTTGTCAGAACATCCTATATATTGGATACAGGCCACACCCCCGAGAAGACTCCCTTTGCAACTCATTGGCTGATTATATCAGATTACATCATGGAGGATGACTACATCATTATATAACTGCCAAATAATATCATTATGTAACTGCCAAACCACTGAGAATGATGGCCCAGCCAAGTTGACACACAACCTTAACCATCACAGTCCACCTCTTGTCAACTTGGCACCTATACATGTCTCTTTAAACCATACACAACCTATAAAAACAATTACAAAGTCATGCTTGGCACCAGACACGATACAACTAATGTGCACAGCAGAAAACGCACTAGCCCCATTTACATCTTATTTTTATAAATGAAGAAAACAAAAATATTTGATGCACACATACAAGGAAGAAATACTCACAGCAATTACAGTCCTCATTTCTGGAACTGGTCAGTTGGTCGTAACTGGTATTTGGAACTACCTTCTTCCACCACCCATTCTGTATTCCTTTTATCCTCAGCAAGCACCTCAGCCGGTCATGGTTCTTTGCCTGGTGGGGTGACCCAAATCTTCATTCCTAAAGGGTCTGGGCCATTAGTAATCATGTCAGAATTGAGTTGCTGTAGTTTTCCATTGACTTTAATCACAGGGCTTGGTAATACTAAGACACTGTAAGGGATCGCCTGTATTCCAGACATACTCTTTTTTACCTCTATTATGCAGCATCAGTCCAATTTCCTGTTGGTAGTCAGAGTCAGTCACAGCAGCCAATATGGTAACTCCCTTCGTTGCCTTTGATCCAGAGGAATGAGGAACCCCTAGTGGCCTAATGGTATTCTTAACTTCCAGTTCAGTGGCATTCATGTGTCTCCAAGCAGGAGCATTCCTCCCTTTGGAACTAAGACCTGTAGACCCGGGGAGCATAGGGTCGTGGGGACAGGAAGCAAAAATTTTGCAAGTGGGTCACTAGGGATAATAATGATGCCACTCCCATTTCGACCCCTTGATTCCTGTAACCGTGAATCCTGGCTATGGGAGAAACAGCGCCATTTATTGGACTCTGGTTTAGAGCATATCCAGCCTCCTGGAGAACATTGCCCCAACCCTGTAAAGTGTTGCCACCTAGCTGGCACCATAATTGTGTCTTTAGAAGGCCATTCCATTGTTCTGTAAAGCCAGCTGCTTCAGGATGATGGAGAACATGGTAAGACCAGTGAATTCCATGAGCATGGGCCCATTGCCACACTTATTTGCTGTGAAGTGACTCCCTTGATCTGAGCTGATGCTGTGTGGGATACCATGATGGTGGATGAGACACTCTGTTGAGTCTATGGATAGTAATTTAGGCAGAGGCATTGCATGCAAGGAAGGCAAATCCGTGTCCAGAGTAAGAGTCTGTCCCAGTGAGAACGAAATGCCGTGCTTTCCATGATGAAAGCGGTCCAGTGTAATCAACCTGCCACTAGGTCACTGTCTGAACACCTTGAGGAATGGTGCCGTATCAGGGGCTCAGTGCTGGTCTCTGCTGCTGGCAGATTGGGCGCAACAGCAGTGGCTGTAGCCAAGTTGGCCTTGGTGAGTGGGAGTCCATGTTGCTGGGCCCATGCATAACCTCCATCCCTGCCACTATGGCCACTTTGTTAATGAGCCATTGAGCAATGACGGGAGTAGCTGGGGAAGGAGGATGACTGGTTTCCACAGAACACGTCATCCTGTCCACTTGATTATTAAAATCCTCCTCTGCCACGGTCACCCTTCAGTGAGCATTCACATGAGACACAAATGTCTTCACTTCTTTGACCCATTCGGAGAGGTCTATCCACATACCTCTTCCCCATAAATAACCTGTCTCCAATTTTCCAATGATGTTCCTTCCAAGCCCCTGACCATCCATCCAAACCACAGCCCATGAATCAGTATACAATCTCACATCTGCCCATTTCTCCTTCCAAGAAAAGTAAACAACCAGGTGCACTGCTTGAAGTTCAGCCCATTGGGAGGATTTTCCTTCACCACTGTTCTTCAGGAGGGTCCCAGAAGGGCCGTAGTACTGCCTGTGTCCACTTTCAAGTGGTGCATGCATATCACATAGACCTATCTGTAAATCAGGCACAAGTTTTCTCTTCCTCAATCAGTTGATCATAAGAACTCCCCATGAGGCCATAG